CTTCCATTTAGCTAGCTCATTTATTTGGGGAGGGGGAAAAACACATTTAAAAACACCCTGAATTTTTCCAATATAAAACTTGTTGCAGAGACTGGAATTTCTAAATGTAAAATTAGCACAAACAAAACCAGTTCTAAATATGGTGAGTAGATATTTTGTAACAGTAGCTACATCCAGACACTATGTTTTCAGGAAACTATGCAACATATTCCAGCAATGAAACATTTTTAAGAAAACCAGTGAATATGTAATTCTATGTTGTCTGGATTTCACATAGATTACCTGTTTTCCTGTATAAACAGAGGCAACATAAGTTAAAGCTATCCTATTTACATCTACCCCAAACCGAAAGCTTAAGTCTTTGCAGGATCTACTTGCCTACAGGAGCAGCGACTTTGGAATATGTGCCTGGGTAGCTCCATAACTGCAGCACCCTCTGCTGCTTTTTTAGTTCCAACACATGTAATTGTACACTCAACTAGGTACAAAATAAAATATGTATTGACCATGTTGTTTCTTGAAAACGGTTACATTATTAACTAATGCTATGTGCAGTTTACAAGAAAGTGTTTTGCTATTACATATAGTATATTTGCAATTTTATACTACTTGAGCACTCTGGAATAGCTTGTTTCTATGTTAACATCAGGTAGATACTAGATGAAAATCCTGGAACGTTGTATTTCACTGCTTAAAATTCTCCTTTACAGACACTGTAGCTTGCTTAGACTGGTGGCAATTAGTTAAGAGGTTTATATTTTGGCCCTTGATCATTTCACTTAATTTAAATGTATACATAACTTGTAATGATTACTGCAGGGATATAATTATACAAGCATTTCAGCCGTAACTGCTTTCTCCCACTAGGAAAGGCAGGGAAAGGTGATACTCTCAAAAGTTCATTCTTGCAGAATCTTCCTGGCTTTTTGGACAGTCTGTTGCAGAAGAGATTTTTCTTCTGCAAGGATGAGCATGGCATGTCGCTCCTGCAGCCAGCTGATGCCATCCCACAATGCTAACACTGAACCTTCTGCCTGGGATCCATCAGTTCTTTTAATGGACTATCTTAGGACTAGAGATGGTCTCAGGATGTACCATCTTTTTAACAGATGGCATACCGTTGTCTAAAATGAACAGACTGACCCTTTCCTTCATTCCAGTCCTCTTTCCCCTGCCTCCTGTTTATGCATAGAATTAAAGCTGAATGAAGCGCATTTAACGTTGCATCCTGTCTGTGTGGAGAACTCAGAGTTTTCACATGGAAACTGCTCTCTCACACAGGATGAACAAGAGAGAAAAAAAAAAAATCACATTTTTCTGGGAAAGTGAAAACCAACTGTAATTTGTAGAGTGAATTTTCATTCACAGTAGCAATCCTACAATGAAAATACATCTTCAGAAATCTTTTTGAAAAAGACAGAATACAAGTGTAGGTACCAAGCTTGAACAAGACATTGTGCAGAGGCAATTTCCAGAGTTAATACTTGGGACCCTGCAATACGCTGTTTACAGCTGCTGCAGTTGGCTCCACTTTTGTCCTGAAGTTCTACTGGTATAAGGCAGCACTTTTGGAAGCAGTCACAAGTATTCCTCAAAAGCTGTTTATTGATATTTTATATAATGCTGCCAGCTAGTGGCACATCTTGTACTGAGTTGATATCTGCTGGGAGTATAGAGAAAGTGGGATTAACTAGAGTCTGTTCTTCTTTTGATGGTGTATGGTGATGTGGCTGTTAAAGACCATAAGCAGAAAGATCAAAAAATGAAAGCAAAGGACCATAGAAATGTTCCCCAAAAAGCTTGTTTTAACACAAGGTACGTATGAACATTACTAGAATAAACAAAAAAACCTCCCCCCAAAACAACACAAACCATGTTATTTGAAACAAATTATTAGGTTTTAAAAGGATGTAATTTGCCACATGTTTCAGTTTTCACAAAATCTAACTTGTTTAATACACAATTATTTCATAATCTAATAATCTCCAGCAAAACATTAATCTTCCTGATAAACTCTCAGTATGGCAGCCAAAACAAACACACAGAACACTAAAATACTTAACTGTATTCTGATAACTCGATCCAAATAGTTTAAGTGAAGTTTAGTGCCCAGTAAATAAATTCTGACTATGTAGTGTGTCCTAAAAGAACAGTAAACTCTATAACTATCCAACGGGTCCTCTCACAGAGCATGCTACCGTAGATGGGACTGATAATATGTTCAATATTGGCCAGCTCCATTAGTATTAGGTATTAGAAGAAATAATCTAATACTGTTACAGACCATTTTAGAAATGTTTGGGGGTTTGTTTTGGCTTGTTTGTTTTTTAGGGTAGACCATCATTTGATAATATGAAGTTCTTAACACCACAGCAATTGTAAAAAACAGTCAACCTAACAAATGTAGTTACCTTTGGGGGTAAAAGGAGGCAGGATTACTACCTACCATTTCCACTGTGGGTTAACACAAAGAGAGCCAAGAAATACACAGAAAAAGGTCAAAGAAAGAGCCAATTCAGTTAAAGGGATAGCGGGAGTGCACACAAACTCAGTTGGGCATGATCCAAATAGGGCAGCTCAGTAACCACATGGTTGGGGGAACTTTACTATGATGGTGTGACTGAGACATAGTTGCACTGGTTTGTACACTGGGGAGGTTTACTCCATGCAACTGGTAGCAAAAAGGTATTACTATTACACTCCAAGCCAGTACTGCATGCTGCCAGAAGATAACTCTTTCACAGTTACCCAAAGAGTGTAATCTAGAGTGCCTAGTAAAATGGACATAAACCAGTAATATGTACATCAATATAGACAGATACTTACAGACACAGACATTTAAAAATGGGGAAGCAATGAATTTGGAAATGACTTAGCAAACACTGTATATAATAGCACAGCATGAACCCTCAAAGCAATATTGAATCCAAAAGGATAAATGTGAATCTTTGTATATACAGAGAAACAGTAAGAAGAACTACAAATGTAGTATTACTTTTGTGTTAGCATCAGTGTTGTGCCTATTAGAGTATAAGTCTTGTTCTACCATCTGCAATCAATAAGTAGCTCAAATACCGGAAAAAGTTAACAGAAGAGCTGCCAGCACATCTATCAATAGGAAAGCATATGAAAACTTTAGCAAAGTAAATTATTTGTGTTAACAAGGAAATTTGTGTAGATTGATCACAATCTAAGTATTCGCACAAAGATTAAGAAATCATGTTACCATGTTTAACAGAGTAAGGTACGCTGTCTTGAGCCACTATGTGAAGCACTTCCAGACAAAAAAAAAAATATTTTCTCTGCTGTTCAAAATAAATACCTGAGCTGTTATCTAATGAACTAATATAACAATACTTTTTCTGGATCCAAAACCTCAGTTTGGATTTTTTTGCTAATTTTTTCCCTTATTGAGAACAGTTTATGAGAATGAAGTAACTTGTTACAAAAGTCCCTCTAGCTTCCTATTCTGAGAATCTACAACATCAAATCTCTCTAACTGCCTCTTGTAATTTGTGCAAAGCATTTTCTTCCAGATCCTAAATGTCTTAAATCTTAATGTTTTTATCATCTAGCTCACGATGCCGACATCTGTAGCTGATGTCAACCACAATTACATATGTAAATTTTCTTTCTCAGTCTTAATATTATAAATTTAAATATTCATATATACCTTATATATAATTTTCATTCAGATATCAGAGAAAAAAATTCTCTTTGGCAACAGTTAAAGAATACACCCTGAAATATTTTCTGGCAGGACCACACAACTATCTTCAATGTTCAGAACTGAATGAAAGCTAGCAAATTTTAAAAAGGAGAGCACATAGTTCATGACTTTTTTTTCCTTTTGAAGGCAAAATTTTCTTAAATTGACCTTTTTGCTAAAGAAAAGCCAATGTTTATTGAAACATAGCTTTGGAAATCTAAGACTGGAGTTTTGAGACGAAACACATATATATCAGAACAGTTTCTGTATCATTGCTTTGACGAGGAGGAGATATGTGCACATTTCTTGAATATCTTGTAAACTTACAGAGACCCCCCCCAACTTTATTCTATCAGTTTGCTTGTTTGAAAACAAACCAACCAACCAACCTGAAAAATAAGGCAGAATAATCAAACAAGAATTGTATGTATATCTGTAAATGTTAATTATATAATAGTAATTACTCATTACATCAAAAATATTTAAATATTTTTGCTCAGCTTCTTTTCCATGATCTATCACAATTTCATAATTCAAGTCCATTAATAGCACAGATAATTTTATTAATAAGTATACTGAAGCAGAGCCATACTGGGTCAGACATTGAAGGTCCACTTACGACTCATCTTGTCTCAGGTTAATGCGGCCAGTAACTGATGCTTAGACAAGAGTGAAAGATCAGGACAAACAGATCATCTTCCTGCCCCATTAATTATCCTAACATCCAGCACTTCTAAGCCATAAGTGATGTCTTTATATTTAATAGCCACAGTGAATTTTTCTTGCACAATTTTTCCCCCTCTGCTTTTTGAATCCATATCATGTTCTGGGATCCAAAGCATTCTGTGGGGAGGAATTTCACAACTTGACTGTGTGCTTTCTTCTGTTTTTCTCTGGTTTGAGTTTGCCCTCTCCAAGCTAGAAGTATCATTGTTTCTTGCACTGTTGTTCCTCAGATAGCCACTGCTGGCCGCTGGCCAACACAAATCAATGGGCTACACTAATTTTTTGTCCAACCTAGTTCAGCTGCTCTAACGTTCCCACCGCAGTCACAGAACCAAAAATAACCTGCGCTGGGATGACTTAAGGGTGTATCCACACAAACAACTGTGCTACATGAAACAGCGTAGCACATAAAATACTATGATAGGTAGATCGGTATCTCTGACCACAGCAATGGTGTTTCTCAGCTAAATGAAATGGTTATTGAGGGCTCATGCAGAAATATTTTATATTGATACAATTAGACTTCTATCAACATAGTACTGTAGTGAAATAAACAATGACTTACAGACATTTCCCGTGTTGTCAAAGCTTGTAAGAACATCTTTAACATTTAAGAGTCCATTGTGAAATCTGGAAGCAAACATAGTGACGTTACCAACATATAAACAATCAAAACCCCCCACCATCTTGCCTCTTTAGAGAAGAGGTTCACTGCCTGCCTTCACTTCTCACAAACCCCTTTCACAGAGAAGTATCAAACAGTACTACTGTAGCCACCAGGGGAAAAACAAGGGGACAATCGCTGTTCTTCAAAGTTCCATCACTGACATCCATGAACATATTTCTCAGAAACTAATACTTTATCAACACGACAGCATTTCCAAAGAGCATCAATTTTTGTTTAGTTGTCAAAGTCACATATAGGAAAGGAAGAATTTTGATAGTGATTTTTTTTCAAGAGGAAAAACAAAAGACTATTTTTGAACAGCAGCTGTACAGACATTCCTATTTTCTCCCACAATATCAAGAACACTTCATTTAATTAGTGTGAACAATGAAACTGATTAATGTGTTCAGTGAACTGCATTTTCTTTGGTTTTACATTTGCATAACCCAAGTGAAATAAACATTCAAAACTGGGGATAATAAATTAATTAACTGAATTTCACATACCAACTGCAAATTTTAGAACACAGGGAGCAAAACACTAACAGCAGCAGAAGGAACATGCACCAAAGTTGAATAAAAATTTGCCTAAGAAGCTTCCTCTAAATGTCAGGCTAGCTGGATTCACACACACAAAAAAAGCAACTAAATTTTTTTAACTATTCCCAGCTAATCTAGGCCCAAAATGAACAAAATAAAAAAAAATCTTACACTTTACAACAATCAGATCACATAGCTGTTTCACAAACGCATTAAAAAAATCTAAAAAGAATTCAGCAAGGCAGTAAAACACAAAAATACAGTCTTTTAATAATGTTTCAAATATAGCTTCTAAAGCTGTTTAGGAACATGCTAATTTGAAACACTGAAAAACTGGAAGAAATCCAACAACTCTAGCACCTACAAAATTAGTTCTCATTCTGTCAGTTTTTCTTTCCTCAAGAAAAATTGTTGTAAGAATGGAAAAAAAAAAAAACAAACCCAAACAACAAAAAAACCCAACAACCAAACCAACCCCAAACCATCAACCTTTTTGCAAATATGAAATGCTATATTTTTAGTGGGGGAAAAAAAAAAGCTATTTATAACTTCTGATAAGCATTAAATAAAGAAACATTTACATGTTAAATTTTGAGAACCGTCAAACAGCAACCAGACTAATTCTTAAAAAAAAAAAGGAAAATCAAATGGAAATCAAGTTAACAAACTGAAACAAGATCATAAATAGGGGCAACAAAATATATGAAAGATGTTACAAAAGTTTGAAGTGGACATTAGAGCTCTTCTCCCAGCTACATAAAAACAAACCAAAAATACATTCCTTAGCTGCAGTGGAAGCCTACAAGAATTCTGATGGATCATGTGAACTTAAAATGCACTTTTTCTTCTTTTCTTTTTTTGGCAAATTTGTTTTCAATCATATTGGACAACCAATGCAACAGAGTTAATTCAAGGGACATAACAAGAGAGTGGACAGGACCACTAGTTCTGCCAGCCACAGAGTTGCCCTTTAAACTGTGCCCTGCTGACTCCTTAGCATCCTATACACTCCATAACTGTGCATATGTCTGACACAGTTAGGGTCTCTCAGACAGCTGTGAATGTCTTGTCTTCTAAATGAATGTAAGGGGGGG